CGACAGCCTGGGCTGTAGGGAAGCATAAATTAAACTGAAAGTGGCAATGAAGATTGAATACTCTTCAATCTTGAATACTCTTCAAAAGAATCCCTCAGTTTGTCCAGGGCCCCTGGCAACAAAGATACAGACCGTCTCAAAACAATAATAATAAATTAAGCATGAATGTAGTCATTTTAATATAACGTGTAAATAAGTCTGCAACCTCAGAGACATGATTCACTCTTTCTGAAATACATGATTTTGCAATTATAGCCCACACTAGAGGCTTTTATAAGGAATATAAAAGTTGCACAAAAACTGAGCATGCTTTTACTAGCCATTCCCTTATCACAGTTGTAATACCGGGATAAGATCTGGACGGCAACCAGCGTTTCACTCAGTCTTGTAGCTCCATTGCTACCTCTCTGAAATACTTTGGTACATATAAGCATCTCTTCACTATTTCTAAGGGATATCACATTCTTAGAACTACCACATTACCAAAAGGAAAAAAAAAGATAAAGAAAGACTCTTTAAAAATACTGAGAATAACTTTTAAAAATCATTATTTACAATTTTCAGCACAATTTAAGTGGTTACCATAGCTGGAATGAATTACAGTGCACTGCCAGGATTTTCAGAAAAGGCCCTTCCACCCCAGGAAAAGTTCAGTTGCATCCTGCTTTAATGGCTCTTGGCAAGCTTGCACTATTGTTTTTGTACAAACAGAAGTAAATTTGATATAAATAAAAAATGGAACTTTATGTGAATGAAGCAAACATCAAATTCCTTAATCTTCAAAAGAAACTCTATCCCTGAATAATTAACTATGATATATTTATAAAACTAGAATAATTGAAAACAGAATTCTAAGTTGATTCATGTGGACTGCGCTGAAATATTTATTATTGCAAGTCCAGAAGATCTGTCTGGGCTTTGTCACTGGAAATGTCTAAACTCAGTGTCCAGATGTTTATTTAAGTTGCTCCCACATAGTTCTAATGTCAATTACCAGGGGTTATCAGAGAGCATCACTGTGTATCTTCCTTGACTAATATTCTCATTTCTTCTGCATCTTTGATGTTTTCTTTCATTAAAATTCCTGGCTCACAGCCACAAAAATCTGCCGTGCAGGCAAAAAACTGGTCTGCAGACATGACATATGATGATGCCCAATGTCTGCGCAAGGATAATATTTATCATCAGCTATCATTTAAGCAGTACTATAATCAGTACAATGCCAATTTTAAGCAGCTCAAAGAAATACATGTGAAACCAGGGAATAAGCACTTCTAACCAATATGAAATAACTTGAGTCAGTAAAGAAAATATTATTGCATATAATAAAGATTTTGTAAATCTGTTTTTGGGGGGGTTCTCCCCATCAGGAAAAAGGGGGAAAGCCAATGACAAAGTCATTTCACACATAAATGCAAATGGAATTGATGGCTCTGTAACTCTGGAAACCACAATTACATCGAGACTTTTATAGTAACCAGGAGACAACACAGGCCACTCGTAACGGGGACTTAAACAGAAAGAGCCTATCACACAGTCTCTGAACACTTCCTGCATTCAAATGCAAATAGTTGGCTAACACAACTCACACATTATATCTACATCTATATTATCTGTATCTTATCTGTTGCACAAAACCGGTTAATTCATTTGGTTTGTAGGTAAGTTCTGGAAGATTTATTTTTAAAGATTTGGAATAAAACAGAAGACCAATGCTAATTCAATATAAATGGAAGTAGAGATATAAAATGGCTGGAGAAAATAGTGCATGCTAGTACCCAAATACACCAGGTACCTCTCTTCGTGAGGAATGTCACTCATTTTAGTTCTAATCAATCAATAAGAGACAGACACCTTGCAACTTCAACGAATAATGGTCTGAGTGACTTGGAAATTTATTTCTCTCCCTCACATCTCAGCCTGGGAAGGTGCATCCAGCTTCCAGAGCCCTAACAGCTGAGCATTCAGCCTTGCTGAGCATCACTCTCCCTCACTGAGATCTTCTACAAATGATGTCACTGCACCTCCAGATTCAAATGTGATTCTGGGTGCACAGTAAAAAATCCCACAGCTTCTTGCAGTACCGCAAGTTTTGTCACGGAATTTGTGCTCATGTAGCACAGGCTGGGTGCAACCTGCATGCACTGGGAGGTGCAGGTGGCAGCTTCAATTCAGAGACGGATGCAGGAGTTCACGTGCTGTTATAAGCAGAGCCATGGTACTCCCACCACTGTCTGACTAATTTCTGAGTAAATTAAATGTATATGTTACTAGCATCAAGAAACAATTGAGAATCCATTTTTCAGAAGAAAAACAAACAAACAAGAAACCACCAAAAACCAAAACAACAGAAGGAAAACATGGACAGAAATTTGCAACTAAAACTTCTATTCAGAAGTGTACAAAGAACATCTCCTAATATGTGCTTGGCTTCAGAGACTCAGCAAAACCTTGGACTGCCACTACTTGCCACATTATATCACTGCCTTGATCTAATAAGCAACTACATTAATACCAGCTGTGTGGATAGAGGGAGGAAATATGAATATGTTCATTAAGCATTATGGCCCCGCTTATCTCCCTCATGACTTCAGTGGAGGCGTGCCAATTCGTGCATGACACAGTTATGGTCCCCAATATCAAACCTGGAAGAAAAGCAATGAGAGTGTCACTTAGTACAAATTCTTACGAATTTCCCTGTCAAGAAATCTCTCTTATGCTTACTGCTGGAGGACATGTTCACGCATATTTGGATGATTAAAAGTTAACGCTTAGTTCAATGATTCTAGCAAGTTGAAAATCAATTTGCTTGCCACACACATTTCACTGTGCTCATTTGTGTCATCTCCTCACATTCAGTAATTGGTTCACAACTCTTATTCACATATTCCCTTGCACATAAAGATGAAGCAAATCACAGAGCCAATATCCTGGTTCAACAGAGCACTTGCACATAAATGTTCCTAGAGGAATAAAACTTTGATTTCAGTACCTGCTTTCATGCTTCACCAAATCAAGGGCCAATTTAATAAAATCTTAATAACCAAAGGATCAAAACAGTTGCTTTAAACAAGAGATGAGTAAATGCCTCTAAAGCTTTGCGTACATATGGAATAATAATTACAGTATTTACAAAGGAGTCAAATGGAGTTAAGCACTCATATCCCATGGAAAGTCAACGTGAGTGTAAAATGTTTGGACTACAGTCAGCTAACATTTGCCTGTCACAATGTCAGGAGTGACACAGCACTGCAGAAGTGTGAGAATAAAACACAATCATTAGCTTACTGAAAAAGAAAAAAAATACCACAGCAAAATAAATGTTGTTTTCACACAGCTGTCTTTTCTACTTCCCTTTCCCTCCCTGAATGTGGGAGTTCACAACCCAAAAACAAACATTAGGAAACCAGGAAATCTCAGTGGTGATCTCCACACATACCACCCTAAGAGCAGTGGACTTGCAACAAAACATGAACCACAAACTCGGGAAAAATACAGTTCAGTTAGCACCTCCCTGGAACAAGACCACACCATGCAAGACCTACTCCCTGAAAAATTTGTCCTTACAAGACACTTTGGAGAAATTATGCTTCCTTCTTATACTGCTCTGAAAAAGAACCAAGGCTGGCAAAACAGAGAAAAGCCACCTTTTCCTACAGGAGAGACCACAGGTTAGGGCACAGCTTCTTCCATCGCAGGACTCCCATTCCCTGTCCCCTTTATGCCACTCATTTGATATAAAAGGCCAAAAATTCATTGCAGTTCCCCTGGCCCAATGATACTCCTTGCAGGCACTAACTTGCTAAAGGCAGTTGATGAGCCAGATGTCACGCAGATTAGGCCAGAAATGTTCTGAACGACAGATCATTTTTGCTGGCAAAACCCAGCATGGTACATAGCTGAGATTACACTCAGCCTTCTGGATCCAGGGAACTGGCTCTGTAATGGAGCTGCACAGAACAACCAGACAGACAGATCTCTACCTACAACTCAGGCTAGGTCCTACCTCCTCCACCAGACTGCTAAAGGCTGCCAGCTTGTGGTGTGTCTGTGATATGGGAATTATCTGCGAGTTGCATGCGGAAACCCCCAAACTACTGCCTGGGGCTGCTCTTGGAGCACGACCAGCTTTTGCCATGGCTTCCTGCTCAAGTTTCAATTCATCAGTCTGTAGCATCTGGATATTCTTTTCCCTGACTCCTGATACTGCGTCCCTGTGGCAGGTTCAGAAATTCCACAGCACAGAGCCATGGTTTTCAAATTCTCTCAATTTGCAGGCCAAGTTTCCTCCACACAGGAACTTGCAGCTTACTGTCGTTGACTTTTTTTTGCTCCCATGGCCCTAAGAAGCTGTCCACAAGCCACCAGATGGAAAACTACTAACAGAACTGCTGACCTATCAGCTACGTCTAACTCTAAAAACCAAGAAAAGCTTACACATCTTTTCTACCCTTAGTTACTCTTACAGTCCCCCAAAATAATTAAGTACAGCAGCATTTAAGTCTTTCTTCTTTCAAATGTTATTTCTCAAATACTTAACACAAATTTTTAGGCTGCTAAATCCTCTAGATCATGTTATCACCACAGCTGGCAAACCAGATGGCATGTTCTCTCCCCCAGGAAAGGTTACAGCTGCTAACAGAAACTCTATTGGAGTTCTTTTCTTGTGTGCAGTTTGGGGATCAGGTACAATGCAAAAAGCAAGGGACAACAGCTGCTGCTGCACAGTTACCTGCCTCATGCCACAGCTCTCACACTTAGAGCACACCATTCCACCCTGTGCCATCTTTGACTTGCACAATTGCCCAGCTTTAGGTCTTACAGATCTTTTCTCATCCATTTGCATTCACAAAAGTTTTCTTTCTCTACGTAGCAATTGTTTTCCAGCTCCATCTCCAATGTTTTCATTGTGGAGCACTGAAGCAAAAGGTTCTGGTTTTCCCCGCAATTTCTCCGTTAACTTTACATGGTCAAAGCAAAACATTACTCACACAAGGATCTTCAGACACATATTATCAATTCTTTATTTTCTACTAGCTTAACAGCCCACTCTACTAAAACAGTCCACACCCGAAATAGAGAGCAAGCTCCTTAATTCTCAGTGTACGTTTTGAAATGTTCTGGAACTGGAGAACAGTGAAATGCACAACAGCAATACCATGCTTGACCAGAAACTTAATTCAGTATGACTAAACCATTCCATGATTCATCCTCTTACTCTCTTTTAGTAACTTCTGGATTGCACACCCTCCTTAACATGGGACTCTCTTTATACCCGAGTCTTTGCTTTCTTTCACTCACAAAATCATTCAAAGTAGATACCTGTGCTCAGAACTTAGGACCAACAAGCCCCCATGAAAGCTTCCAGGTTTTGCAGTAAAACAAACCCTTTAGTAATAACTTAAAATTCATACCTTAACCTTGGTTTTGTATTCAGGCAGCACTCTCTTCCACGAGGACTCCCCCAGCGCTGTGCTAAACAGCTGCTAATCAGGTAACAAATACCTAACGCACTTCACCTGTTACTAGAGTGATTGGTTCCCCCCACCCCCTTAAGGGTGATTTTTGCCCATTCGGGGCAAAGTCCAACATATTGAATCCTATCAAAATACAGATCAAGAAAACTGCCTCTGCTTCACAAAGTTTAGAGAGCAAAAGTAAGCCTTAAAAGCTCAAGGAAAGAGCATAATTTTTGTTAGCATAAGACAGTGGTCAGCAGAAGCCTATGGTGAGCTAGATTTCAGTAACCTAGAAAACAAATTCTTAACTGTGTAGCTTTGTGTAAATTCCTTTAGCACAGAAAATCTTAAAAAAAACTTTAAAAGTGTGACAGCACAGTCAGTACAGGGACAATGGTGATGATCTTAGTGAGGGGGAGAGATGCAAACAGGCCTGGAAGTGATAGCTTGTGCTTTATGCAACAGCAAAGGGAAAGCCGACACACTTCTGGAGCCGCTTGTCCTTAAGCAATACAACAGACTGAAATAAGGGGAGGACTGATGACGAGACCCAGCTGGATGATGGTGGTAGCATGGACAAAGGTGGTCTGAGAGCTGAACTGCACCCACAAGAGAAAAGCACTCTACCGGCCTGTGGAGTCAGCCACACACTGAAGGAAGACGCTGAGGGCAGAAATACATACAGCTGAGGATGAGGTGTGTCATCAACATGGATGCTGAGGAATGAATGTGAATGACTGAAAATGTGCCAAAAAATAGTGCTGATAAAGACAAGCAATTGTGAGAAGCTGGAAGGATGAAGCAGGAACATAGAAAAGAAAAAAAAAAAACAAACAAACAAACCACTGAAAACCAGGAAAAGATGGTAAAAAATAAGATACACGGCCCAGAAGAGGCAAACACCTGAACAGTCTGAAACCAAAACAGGAAAGAAGGAAGGATAGCCTCAGTAGGAGGGCAGCTGTGGCAAAACCACAAAGGTCTCTGCAAGATGTGCAAGTGACTGAGGTCTGTAGAAGGTGCCCAGTTGCACAGTTGGTATTTAGATGGAGTTACAGAAAGCAAGAGAAGACAGCAATGGGAGGAGGATGCATGACATGTAGCAGAAGTTAAATACAGATATAGGCAGCATTATGTCCTATGAAAGGGAATGGGTGGTGCAAGGATGCGGTATATGAATTTGCTTTCAGGACAGGAGATAAGTCTTAGGAGGAAAAGGGAAGAGCAGACAGCTGATGAGAAGCCAACGAACAAGAAACCTGTGAAAGAGCACAGAAAAGAGGCATCACAGACAAGCAACAGATAGCCTATTTAAAAATACCACATATTATCTTAGCAGCAGTTCCACCTGTGAAAGTGCATTGCCAGGGTACGGACTGTGCAACAGGGACTGCCTGGGAGAGCTTGTGGAGCATGTGGAGGAGAGTTACTACCAGCTAGTAAGGTACTGTATGCATTCAAGAAGTGCCAGAGTCTGTCATCCCCCATTTCTAGATGATATTGTGCAGCTTTTTGAATGACTCGCATGTGGACCACCTTCAGTTTCCAGAGACACCATTCCTGCAGGAATATGTACACATGGGGACAAGCCTTGCACACACCGCTGCTGCAGCATCTTGGAAAACAGGTGTTGCCAGGCTGTACAAGGAATCTTTGAGGCTTGTTTTTTAGACCTGAACTGATAACAGGGCTGGAATACCCTAGTGAACAGTGGAATATTGTTGTGAAAAACTTCTCAGGTGTGTTCCTCATCACTCAAAACTCATATTAAAAGGCAGAAAATGTTATTGTAAGGAAGATGATTTTTTTTTTATCTTCAAAGAACAGCTAAAGCTGCAAAATACACAGAACATTTTCTTCAAGAAAACCAGATCTCTTAATTTACAGTATCGGACTATGAAAAAATAGTATTCCAAAGTGTGAAAGCAGTGTACAAAAATAAGGAAGAACATCAAGACCTTTAATAAAAATATTAAAGTCCTCAGATTAACTTGATCTCTTGATGTGCTTTGCAGTAATCACCACAAATGAAACAGCAGAGTCCCTTAAAGCCCAAACAGAATTTGAGTTACAAAATAACTTGAAATTCTTAATCTATTTACAACATAAGGGCAGAAAGTGTTATTTTAAGGTGCAGGCACAGAAACAAGTTCTCATGAGATAAGAAGCTAACTTACAGGCTACCTAGTGCGCATTTATTGCAGCTGTCTAGGCATGTATTTTCACCGTATGGTAAAAGCAAGATAATCGATAAAAGTAGTATCTCACATTTATACAAGAGCTTCCATACATGCAGGCAGTTCAGGGGCACCTTAGCCTACTTCATGAATGTGTGTGCCAATGCCCTTTGTAATCACATTTTTGCACAGAAGAAACCTTCTCTTGTAGATGACTCTCCATAGCCTCCAAAAGAGCTTGCTTCACTCTAGCTGAAAACTATGGGGCATTCCAAAGATGAACTGCCCCGAGTGCTCAAAAAGCAGTCCCCAAACAACACCAGGGTTACCACCTTATAACATTTATATTTATGAGGTTTACACTGAACCCTTCGCATAGCTATAATGTTAAAATTTTAAGAAAAAAAATTACTAGATCAAGCATTCTCAATATCCAGGTCTGGGTTTTAAGAAGTACTGCATAAAGATCAGTTACGTGGCTCATCCTCAGACATCCCTTCTGTCCTCTGCTGAAAATTCAGTCCTCTGCTGAAAAATAATCTTCATCTCTCACTTCTCTGTATTGCATTGAGGCCTCCCCCTCTGGTTCAAACCTGAGCATTTTTATATTCAATCTCTCTGCAAGCTTCTGTGCTGCAAGCTTGGCTTGCATTTCCTATATAAAAGAAAAAAACAGGACCCAAGTTAGAAAAATTGTCCATTTGTCATTTTTATCCTGGTCATGAAAAAAACAATAGACTAAAGTATAAACTTGACATAATATTAATAGCTCTAGAGTGATCTTAATTAGAAGCTTTAGTAACTAGCAAAGAATTTTCAGGTTTCTTTACACACTTATACATAACATGCTATTAACACTTGAAGACCTTTTTATAAGAGTTGGAAGTCCCCATGTGGCAGCCCTCACCCGTGAAACACTAATGCCCACTTTAAAAGAACAAATCAGCCCAGGCAAGAGAGCAGCCGAGCACAGTAACCACGTAGCAATAGCAACGCTTGTCTTCCAGCAACCTCAGCAAAAAATCTGACTCCATTTTCCAAATAAATTACGTCCCTTGAAGTGCCAAGATAACTAAATTAGCAAGTGCTTTTAAAACAATAAACAATAAGCAACAACAAACACTTTCACAATAGTTTCCAATTTAAACATTAGCTTGGTACTACCTGCAAAGTCAAAATCAGAATCCATTGCAACCGAATTTGTAGAAAAAGAAGTTTCTCAGAAGAAACTGAGGACTTTAATTCTTCAGACACAGCATAAATGAAGGGAAATGCAGATACTTGCATGTTTTAAGAATAACAAATACTGCTAAGCCTTCATTTATGAAAGAACCAAAAACTCTTTAAAGACTAATAGGCAAGATAAATTTTTAAATTTCTAGTCAGAGATGAAGTGAGTGCAATGAGGTTAGCAAATCAACACACCAAGAATAACACTAGATATTGTTTAATGCAGGAATAACATTTTCAGAAACAATTCATACATTATCTAATTATATAATTAAAAGAATCAAATAGAAGAAAACGTGCCTTTCCTCAAAGTCTGCGCATCTCAATTTCATCATCAAATTCATCAGTATTAAAAGATCCCTTTTATGTTTTCTTTTTCAGGAATGATCCCAATTATATAATTACTTTTCAGACTAAATCTTAAATTCATACCTCATAAGCTTCTTTTTGCTGTATTTGAATTGCTATGGATTCCTCTATGGATAACAGCTTAGCAGGGGAATGGTGAAGTGGTGGCAGCCGAGCTGCTGTTATATCATTCAAATGTTTCTTATCTCTAAGTCTTCTTTCTTCAGTAGTAATTGGAGAGCCAGATCCCCCAGGTGACTGACTGGATGAGGAACCACGTGATGATCCACTTTGCTCTCCTGATAATCTGGAAGAGATAAAACATTAAAGCTGTGACTCAAAACGCACAACGTTGAAAAGCTTCAGTTCCAAAACTTGCTCTTTTCAATATGCAATAGTTGAAATCAAATCTGAAGTGTTATGACAACATAAACAAGTAAAAAATAAGCAGTGCTTGGAAAAATTAAAAAGATTTTTCTGCAGAGAAGACAATATCCCATGTTACTCCTGACAATGAACAAAAAAAAAAAGGTATGCCAATTAATTGGCAAACATGAAATAGCACTGCTTTGGGAGTCACACAAAGTACATACTGCTACTGGTACAGAGAATGTGAATTGCAGTTTTTTTAGAGGTGCAGAAAAAGCAAAAAGCTACCTGTTATTAAAGTTCTACAGGTTCTAGAATCAATCCACAAGAAAGTTTTGCCAATTGTTAAATAGTTTTGTAGCTTAAGCTATGAAATTCTCTGAAGATTCATGACAATTGCTTCAAATGAAGAATTAGACCACAGCTAAATATTGAGATTCTATGGCACTTAATGCTAAGGAGCCAACATATTAAACTTGCATGTCATATGACATTAAATCTCTTTAATCATCACAAGAAAATAGACCCACCACACTTGTTCTGTACTATTTCCAATTTTACACCAGTCAATTACTTCACAAAAGGCTTTTCTATTCCATAATACTTACACATTTGGTTTAAATTTGCTTTTCTTTATGATTGGGTTCTTGGCTCTAGACTCCAGAACTTCAATATAATGTGGTGTCTTGGGGTGCAGGCTTCCAAAGATATTGCCCTTGTGTTTAGCCACATTCTGTTCTTTTTCCAATACTTTTTCATTACTATCCCCATCTTCAATTGTAACTTTTTGAAAGGCATCAACCAATGCGTCTTTACTGTTGTCCAAAGCAGCTGTACTTTCTGCACCATCCTCAGTATTGCTCTGAGATACCTGCTGATCATTTTTCAGTTGATTGCTCGTGGCTGACTTGGAGATGACTTCACAAGAAAGATTCTGATCTTTTGTAACAGTCTTGTCTTTATTATTTTTCCTCTGAGTCCTTTCATTTTCCAGAGCTGTATTTGTGGCCTCCTGCTCAATACATTCTGCCTCCTGCCTTTGGGAAGAAATCTCAGAAACCTCTTCAATATTAGAGTTTTTATTAAAGACTGAGGAATCTTCATGGTTTGGAGTGTCCTTGTTGAGGATAACTTCCTGTTTGCGTGTAATCATCTCCTCCTGTTTCACCTGAAACTCCAACCTGACAGCAGATAACAGCTCAGCCGTCCTTGCTAATTCTTCCTCTTGTAAAATGGCAAGCCTCAGCTTTTCAGCAAAATCAGAGATCTTCTTACCCTTATCTGGCAGCCTAGCGATGAATTTCCTAAGACAAAAAAAATTGTTATTTAACAAGATACAAACAATCCTATTTCAATGTGAGATACAAAACTGTGTTATTGTAATAGTTCATGTGGCAAGTTTCTCATTCTAACATTACATTTCTTATTTACATAGTAGTAAGCATGCAAAGCACTTGCTGCCTCAGATATTCACTGTGATAAAACAACTATTACATTTTTCTCCGCTCAAAGCTGTAGCTGCTGCTCTGAAAAGCGCAGTGTACAAATATCGTTGAGTATTTTCATCTAAGTGGAGCGCACAGATTTTTCCAGCCGTGTTCCCAGAAATAACCACCAGCTGCTGCTGTGCACGGCCGCAGCTGTACCCCCCAGAGCTGTGCCCCGGGGCTCTCCCCTGGCTGGGACCCTGGCAGCCCGGGCAGGAGGGGCTCCAGGGGGGCACAGGGCCCGCGGGGACTCCCTGAAGCGGGGAGCCCCGCATCTCCAGAGAGCTCCGCTGCTGCGGCAAGAGCCGGGGGCCCCTACGAGGGACGCGCAGCTTCATCGGCCCCTGAAAAGAGTTAAACCAGAGGAAGAGGTTTGACCGCTGCCGCCTCCCGCGCAGCCGGCGGGAGGCCTGACCCGCGCCTCGGCGCCCGCCCTCCGCCTCTCCTCACCGGTCCGCCAGCAGCCGCTCCTGCCGCCTCAGCATCTCCCGCAGCTCGGGAAGGCTCCGGCCCCTCAGGCCGGCGGCGCCGCCCGCCTCTGCCATGCCGCCCCGCACCGCCTCTCACCGGGGCAGCCGCCCGGGCCCGGCGCCGCCGGCGCCGCTTCCGCAGCTCCCCGCAGGCCGCCATCTTACCGGAAGCGACGGCAGAGCGGCAGGGCCCGACCTGTGGAAACGCAAAGGCCTTGGCGGCCGCTGCCTGAGGCGAGCGGCTCCGCCCCTCCCGCCGCTTCCTCTCAGGGAGGGCCGCGGGGGAAGAGGGGGCGAAACGGGTCTCCTCAGGGATCAGCCCCAGCGCTGGGGACTCGGTTGGATACATCCACACAAGCCCAAAATAACGTCAGGCGTTTGTTTTCCGTCAGCTCAGGCAGTTGTGGCGCGGGGTGAGGAGCCCACACCGCCTCCCCTCAGGGTGGGCGCCATTGCGCTCCCCGCACCTCCCTCACGGTCAGCGACCATCCTCTGCCACAAAATCCTCGTTCTAGAAACTGACTTAGTACTCAAGAAACGTATTTCACATTAGCCTGGGTGTGAGAAGTTGTGGAGAGCAGGGGCAGATCGCTGTTCCTGAGCTCAGCACTCTTAGTATGCTCAAAAAGCTGCAAACAGTTAAGTGTTTCTTATTTTGTATTTTCATTGGCAAAAGCCATGCCTTTTCCATGTGTTTGAGTGGCTTTACCAGAGCATCGATTCCTACATAGGACTCAAGGTTTAACTTTTAGAGGCTTGTTAAAGTTTTCTTTACGTGGTGTTTATTTTTTAACACGTTTATGATACAGAGACTGAATCTAGAAATTCAGCCCGTAGTATAACACCGGCCTGCCTGCTCCAAACGTTCCCAACTGATAGAAGCGCCCGGAGCTTTGGTGAGCCCACTCCTGGTAGTAATAAGGTCGTTAGCAGAGTGGCAGTTCCCAGGTGCCGGATGTCAGCCCTTTTAAGTTGATCCCAGTGGAGGTTTCTTGATCCAAGTACTAGTAAAGAGGCGCATTTCTCAGAGATTGTTCATAAAACAACTGTTTTAACAGGATGAGCAAAGGGCTTACCCCAGAGGGATGGGAGGAGGAAGCACTTTAAAATGGCTGCCCGCCCCTTTGTTTGCTCAGCTGGAGGGTGAATGGGAAGGCTGAGGGCCAGGGGAAATGAGATTAATGAAGTAGGCAGCTACCCATGGAAAAAAATACGACGATCAGGGTGAGAAAAGCCACGTTAAGTGACTAGTTGAAGAGGCCTGTAATGCACAACCTGGATCTGGATCGTGTCCTGTGGAAAATCCCCCAGGGCATTTTCCTTAAGAGTTCAAGGAAGAGGAAATCACAGTTTTTCTCACCAGGAGATCACCTGCTGTTCAAGGACACAGATTCCCTGAATTGCTGCCTCTGTAATGCAGGCCCAAGTCATGCCCTATGTGCCACCTATGTAATACTTCTGCATCTTGCAAGGAGGAATGCTTTATCTTGCTGTTTAGCCTCTTTCTCCTGTGCAACAGACTGGAGAAAGTGGGAAGGCTGAGCATGGAAACGTACCACTGCTTCTGCCTGTATGGAAGTGAGTCTAGAAGGAACAGTCTTATAGACGACCGCTCTGCACTTACATGGTGATGGTTCATCTCAGTTCAACTGCTGTTATTACATGTACAGGTAAGTAATGCCAGTATTGACAGCAGGTTTCAGTTTATGTGCTAAACAGCATAAACACAGAAAAATAGAGCAAAAAATTAAGAGAATAAATAACATGACTCCTATGAATCACAACTTACCATCCTGTAGCCTCACGTGGAATACCATTTACCAAGTCTGTATTTGTCCAAGCTAATTCGGAAGGAATACTGTTAGTCTTTACAGTTTGGGTGTGTTAGGTTTTAGAATGCCATAGTCTCTTTACAGGTAACACATAGTTCCAGAATGATAAACAAATTGCTGAAATTTGGAATGTGCCAGAACAAATATATTCTTGTTTATGGATAGATGGGCAGCACCTAGATACAATCCAATCTACTTAGTATCAATTTAGATACAAATGTGAAGAAGAAAAATAGATTTAAGTTTTCTCAGTCAAAGAGCAAAGGTTTGGAGTACCTGTGGGACTGAGGAAAATTACATACTTAAGCACTGCTTGCCCTGGGACAAAATACAGGTGTTTAGGTAAATCCTCACTAGCCACACTTGAACACGAGTAATCACCATCCAGCAATACCTACTGAAAGTTTAGTTTTAGGACTTTGCTCTCACTTCCTTGGAAGACCAATACACTGCCATTATTTGCAGTGCACAATCATCCAAAAGGACCTGGACAGGCTGGAGAGGTGGGCCCAGGTGAACCTCATGAGGTTCAACAAGAGCAAATGCAAGGTTCTGCACCTGGGCTGGAACAATCCTCACCACCAATACAAACTAGGTGGTGAGGTGTTGCAAAGCAGCCCTGAGGAAAGGGACTTGGGGGTTCTGGTGGACGAGAAGCTGGACATGAGCAGGCAGTGTGCAGCTGCAGCCCAGAAGGGCAATCGCATCCTGGGCTGCATCAAAAGAAGCGTTGCCAGCAGGTCCAGAGAGGTGATTCTGCCACTTTACTCTGCTCTGGTGAGACCTCACCTGGAGTATTGTGTGCAGGTCTGGAGCCCTCAATATAAGAAGGATATAGACCTGATGGAGAGGGTCCAGAGGAGGGCCACAAGGATGATCAGGGGGATGGAGCACCTCTGCTACAAGGACAGGCTGAAGGAGCTGGGGTTGTTCAGCCTGGAGAAGAGGAGGCTCCGGGGAGACCTAACAGCAGCCTTCCAGTACCTGAAGGGAGCCTACAGGAAGGCTGGGGAGAGCCTGTTTAGAAAGGCCTGTAGTGACAGGACGAGGGGAAATGGCTTCAAGCTGGAGGGGAACAGATTTAGATTGGAGATTAGAAGGGGGTTCTTTACTGTGAGGGTAGTGGAGCACTGGAACAGGTTGCCCAGGGAGGTGGTTGAGGCCCCATCCCTGGAGATATTCAAGGAGAGGCTCGACGAGGCCCTGGGCAACCTGGTCTAGTTGGGGGTGTCCCTGCTGACTGCGGGGAGGTCGGACTAGGTGGCCTTTGGAGGTCCCTTCCGGCCTGGGAAATTCTATGATTCTATGATATTTTTATTGTTTTCCTTCAGTGCATTCTTGGCCTTTTTGATTAGAGGCTTTATTTTGTATCACCTTCTTGAATATTTTGATCAGCGTTCATGTGAGCGTATAACAAAACTGGGGTTTTAATTATTTCTTATAGAATGGGCTTTCCTGTGTTTCTCACTTAGCACATTATCTCAAGAGTTATTACTAGATACAGTTTTCAGTCAGTTTCCTGTCATTAGATATCTAGAGTTAAATATAATTTATTCTGCAACAGCATGGCTGGAATTACTATGCAATTTAGTGTTATTTCTACAAGAAAATTAAATTATTAGAATGACAATGAAGAAGAAAACAAAGTATACTAACAAAAAAGAATAAACCACATGAAAAAAAAAACCAACAGAAAGCTAGGTGTGACCCAGGAGCATTCATCTTTGTACATAGTATAGCTAAAAAGAAGGGTATTCAAATAACTAAGTAACTTATTCTAGCATAGATTTTTTTAAATAGATTACACCGGTTACAAGGAATATTGCAACAGACATTTGTGTCTGAACTTCTAAGTATTTCTGTTTTATCAATGCCAATTAAGACTAAGCTGGTATATTGTACTCGTATGACATTCTGGGGGAGATGACCCTGAAATACAACTGGCTGATTTTTTTCAGATGGAAGAATGTTCAGTCAGAAGTATCTGAGTCTGCCCAAAGTCAATATTTAAAGTAAAACTAACACTGTTGCTGCTTTTTTGTTAAAGGTAAAATTTCCATTGTCCTTTTCTTCTTTCTTCAACTTTATAAATATATAAATGTTACTCATTTTCACTAGGAAAAGGGGCAAAAGAGACTTTAGAATATAGGTTTTGAGGGGGGGGGAAAAACTGCTTTTATGGCTTCTGTTCTCCTAGGTGGAAATATCGAGGGGCAGGAGGAGAGGAGTCAAGCCACATGTACAAAATAAACCACCCCCAAAATAACAGAAACAGCTGTATGAGTGTTTGGAATCAAAATCAATAATTTCATTTTTATAAAACCCTAATTAGCACAATGCACTTTTGCAATAATTCATTTTCTTAAAGATAATAACTCCTCCCTTAACCATATTTCTCAAAAAAGGCCCCGGACCCTTCAAAAACATACCTTTTTACATATGGGAAGCAACTGTCAGTTTATTGCTGCATTCCTATGCACCACACAGACTTTTATAGGTAATTGTAACATCATAGATGTTCCCTTCTACATATTTTCTCTTTAATCCACCAAGTCCCTTTTTCTTTTGAAAATTTTCACATACCTCAAGTTGTAGATGGCTGCTATCACCTTGTTTTCCTGTGTTTCTTCCACGTTCTAGTGCTTGAGGTAGGGCTGGAAGGGCCTTAACTCACCAGGTCTCTTAAGCACGTTTTTCTTTTACACATGTTCGTAGCCCCAGGTGCTGAATGAGAATGAAATATAATGTAAACGGAATGAAAGTCTCAGTACGTACATCTCCATTCTGTGGAGCAGGGATTTCCTGTACAGAACTACAGCCTTAACGATGTGGAGAGAACTTATTTCTTATCTACTTGCTCATCTGTCCAAGACTAAAAGCCTTCAGATGTCAAAACCAGGATCTGAAGCCTCCCTGGAAAGGATTAGCATCCAACTCCCGGAGCCCATGCTGTAGGTTCAGCACTGAGTACTGCTGATCTCAACAGGATTTTATGAGGTCCTTTTGGCAATCTGTACTGAATACACACACGTACACAGGGAGGCACTACTCAAGTAAAAAACTTCACATTCTTCAGCTGAGCACTGCAAACGAGTAACACCGTATTTGCTATGTTTGCATGACCTCTTCTTATTTAGTTGACATGTAGATTGTTTCATTGTGACATTCAGTCTTAGAGATAAACCTCTATTATCAGTGAGTGGATATAAACTGTATGAAAGATGGGCCACGGTCATCCCAATCTCATCAGCTGGAGCCTGGAGAGCATCATCCCAGATGTATTCAGATGTTAGCTGTGGGATCTGAAGTTGTTGGGGTATTTTTGCAAGAGCTGCACTGCACAGTTCTTGTTTATCCTGTGCAAGTCAATACTTCTTTATTTCATAAAAGAGTTCATCTACTTTTGTTACTTGGCTTTGAGCAGAGTCTTTAGTCTTTAGCAAGGGAGTGTCTTCCTGTTCTCAAGAGCCTGTCTGCCAAAGGAAACACTGACAAGAACATCAAGGCTCCAGAGGAACCGCTTTTGCATTCATACATGTTTTGAATAAACAAGACTGTATAGAGTAAGAGTTTGTAAAGTTTTAAGGTAAGTTTATTTCTACATGAATGTTGACACAACAGAATAGAAAGTTTAAATACAGCATTTATTGCAATTGATCCTTCTCAAGTCCTACATACAGGATGTATTAAAAGCATACAATGTAACTACATTATTTATACAGCATATATGAAAACTGTATCCCAAAATACTTTCCAGAGTCTCTGGAACAAATCACAAAAGAATACTTATCATGATACAAATGTAGTCAAACAATTGACTTATATTTAATGCACTTTCTGGGAGCTACCTACATAGCTTTTATTGATGTTTACAGAATTTTTACTAGTTTCTAATGTTATGATACTAATTAACCCAATCTCAAAGTGACAAAATTTATACTGAAGTGTTATGGTTTTTCAGTCAGATTTGTTATTATCTATGCTAATTTACATTGCTGGTCATTTGACTGGAAAGCTTTACATTTTCATGTAACAATTATATAAATACTGTTCCTCTCCTGTTCTTCACAGTCACCAGAGTTAGATTAGTAGTCCAACTATGACTAGTCACCCTGCTTATTGCATGTCAAAATGCTCCTAAAATATGCTCTTCAATCCTTATTTGGTTTAGAAAAAAGCCCCAACACATTATTTCATCAAATAGCAGAGACAAAATTTACACAAAAAACTTTTACAGGAAAAATTCAACATCTTGCTGCAGTCTTAGTAAAGTCTTGAGCAGAGGATCATCATTTTGCAAGTCTCAGAGTTAAAACAACTTGCAGTGTTTTCAGAGGAGATCCTCAGGAATGTATTAAAAGTAGGAAGAACTTCCTTTTGAAGTCTGTGTCAAAGCAGCATTTTGATACTTCATCCTGCCCTCTCCAACCATTGACTGAGCACCTCACAGTCATCTGTGTCTGTTTTCTGAATTGTGGTTAAAAACAGAAGGTATAAATAAAGTACATTACTTATTTAAACTTGTCAGTTAATGTCTTTTACAGCAACATGCATTTCCTTTTATCTTACACATATCACCTTATCCATTCATCTTAAGTTTGAAGGGACTATATGGGCACAAAAAATGCTAAAAGGCATTACGTAATGCACTGGAGCTGCATCCCTAATGGCCATTAATGCAGCCAGTTGGGTGTAGTTTTTAGTGTCTTGTCTTCAGGAACAGATACCGTCCAACTATTTGCTGTTACCAGCCACTAGAGGGGGATACGATTACACGAGTACAACGCTTATCCCTGAAATTTGAGTTGGATCATTACCCATCAGCTTTTGGGTTCATCAACATACGCTTCCAATTTAAATGTATTCTCTTTTAGACTTTCATTTCATGATCTTAGTTTTTCATAACCATAATTCCTTTCTTTATTGATCAAATTAACTGTTTCTTGGGAACTTTGTTCCAACTCAGTCTCCCAAATTCACTCCAGCATCAAAACTTCAATCAGAAGTACCACATGCACCGTTCAGACTGCAGCTTCTGCACGTATCAGCCATTTCTGTGTCTCTGGTATTCGGTACAAGACAATTCCTCTGCTTTGCATCATGAGAGGGCTTTGTCTGAGGACTGTTGTCAGAGGGAGCAGACTTTATTCTCAGGGACATTTGCTTCAAGCCCTTTCCCACTCTAGAGGTTTTGTACCTCTTTTCAGGAGAATCTGTTCAAGCAAATGTGTGGTATTATGCCTGTTTACTAATGTGGCAGCTGGTGGGTTTTCTTTGCCCTTTTGGTGTCTGTGAGGTCTTTTGCAGTCCCTCATCACACACAAAGTAAACAGAGTTTCCATCTAGAGCTATTAAATGAACAATGTATTTTTTAATTATTCTTTTTTAAAAAAAACCAAACCAAACATTGAGCAGCTGTCAATGTTCGCTACTTCTAGACCAGTGAAGATTACAGGCTTCCTTCACACAGTAGATAATCTACCTTTCTATTAATGGCTTTGATTGCAGTTATTTTTTTAATTTTGTGCATAATACAATCCATAATACTGTGTTTGACTTTATAGAAAGAATGACCATTTTAAGTTCTCAGGAGCTGAACAGGTCACGAGAAAAAACATAGCTTATGTGCAAACAGAAGGTGATCTGAGCACAAAAGCTTGAGAAGTTTGAGCTTCTCATTTTATTTTGTATATGCTTCGATTATATCAAGTAATTCATGTTCCTGCCAGATACCTGTACCACATCAAAACATCCTTCAATACAGGCTTCTTTATTTGGTAGTTCAACAGCACAGCAACAGAGTAAGCAAAGTTCTCTAACGAATTCAGAAAGCCCTGAAATAATACAGGAATAAGATTTGGATTATGAGGTCAATATTACTATTTTAAATACAACTCTACTGAGAATACTTAATTTGAACAGACTACTGAATTTAAGAATTTGCATTAGACTGGAGATAAAAGCAATCACTTCGTGAAGCCATGTGGCAAGGTGAGTACCTCCTGGGACTGACATTCAATGCAAGAACAATATTAATCATACAAAACTTAAGTTGTTTTCTATAGCAGTTACTGTATTAAAAAAAAATGCCCTTCATTCATGTTAATAGAACTACAAGAAAATATTCATAATTCATTTTAGCTCACTAAGACTGGGAGATGAAAACAAGATGTAAAAAAAATACCCTTTATATATATTTAAATAAGTTCAGTACTAGATACAGTCATTCCTGCTGGTACTTTGAAGTCAAAGATAAGATTTTAAGTGCTTTGGAGAAAACAAAAAAAAAAGAAAAAAGAGTACTCAAAAATCAGAATCCTGATTCAGGATTGCCTTTGCTGTAGGACCTGCAGGGACTGCTGCAGGTTGCTGTACACAAGATTCTCTTTCATGACAATGGAAAAGTAAATAAAAGAAGCGACAGGGATTTTCCTACACAATTACTGTTGAGTGTATCACCAATAGGCACTCTATCCCATGACTGAGGAAGTGCAAACCAGTGCCTCAGTCCAACAAAGCAAAATCCATTCTAATCTGCTCCATTGGTTACTGTTTGGAGCACAAACCCAACATTCATCTGCTCGTGGAGGGAACTGTTTGGAACAATTGGTTGCACCTCTCCCTCCCAGCAAGAGCCTGCTGGTTACAAGTGAACTTCTGCCAGGTGAACAGAGCCCTCAACTACACCAGGTCTGTGACAGCCGTGAACAGCCCTCACACTTCCTACAGGTTCTAGGGGGAGCTTTCAGACTAATGCCCTCTGCCAGCGCAGCTTCAGATACTGCTTCTAGTAGTAGTGGAAATAAAATACATTAGAGCTTCATTATACAAACAGAATTACAACACAATTGGAGAAAAAAAAACAACCACCTGTACAGCTGCACAACTCCTTCCTTACAGGCATTTGAAATGACACATTGCACTAGGTAGCTTCTAAAGAAGCAATACTCACTGCTATTTCACTCACCCCACTTCTTCCGTATCCCCCTCACAGTTAATGTCAGTAGTAACTTCAGATACGAAGTCACTGAAAAACTGCTTTCAGAATAAATTTAGCAAGACTCCATGCTGCTGTTCTTCTCTATGACTTGATAAAAATTTATCTAATCAAGCTGCAAAGGCGCAAGATAATTGCTCATATTTAGAAAGCACGTTGACTTGAACGCTCAAGATGTACTGTTCTTTGTACTAAATTCCAACACTCTCTTGAACGGGGTGTATGTCCTCACCGGCCTGGTGCTTTCAGGAGATCCTCTGTTCTCCGTACTTGGACTGTTGAGGAGACAAGAAAAAGCTCACAGAGTTAACGTCAGAGTATCAGACAGCTGGGCTGGAAATGCCACAGCAATGAACTTGTGCCTTGGTGCGGATATTGACAGGCTAAAATTAAACTATTCAGCGTATTTGACATGTTCAGTATTTCCTTTCTGTAATGCCACAAAGAACATTTGATAAAAACTGTGGCAGATACTGGCAAGTTTACATGCAGGCATCTGCTGGAGCTCATACTGGTATGTCCAGTACAGCTACTAGGACTAAGGATCCTGCAACAGTAAAGACAGCAATATCACATTTCAGAACACAATAATTCAGTACAGAATATTCAAAACAGAATAATTCCATAAAAATTGAAATTTTCTGTAAATTTCTGCATAGAGATAAATCTCAAAAATAGGAAAAATATCAGGTGAGTAGGGGCTGTGGTTACATGCACAGGGGCCCCAGAGAGGACAAAAAAGAGCTTTCTGTTGGCACCCTGAGGGAAAAACACTAGCTTTGAGGTTTCAAAACTTATGCCATAAAAATATGCTCTAGGCTGAACACTGAAATGAGCATATTTTTAAAATGGAAAGAAAATTTTTGTTTGCATTGCATCTTGCTGATTTCACGTGCTAATTTACATTCCTTAAACTAAATGATTCCATTTGCAGGGCAGTTAAGATGAACAAGTTTACTTGTTGATAGTAGAAAGTAACGTGCAAAGGTCCTCCTTACCTTCTGGGTTGTGTTTTGCCCTTCCCTGTGGTGACTTGTTGAGGGGAAGATTCACGTGGGAGCCCATAGCCCGGCTCCCAGGGCTCAGTGCCCTTCTCAGGGCAGAGAAAAGGGAGTAGGCACAAGACCTGCACCTTTACAAAGCCAGGCTACAGAGCCACTGGCCACCACAGACCAGCGGCAACCATTCCAGTGCAGAAGTGGTGATGTTATCGTGCTGCTTACTTGGAAATCTTCCACCTAGGGCTACGATATCTCCACAAACTGCTGCAGTTTTGCACTGTTACTGTTGGTATTACCTGCCCTTTAAAATGCTCCTGGATGTGTCTCCCTGGACACAAAGAATAAAGCGTGCTTGAAGCCAGCATTAACCAGCCTTGGGGTAGAGCTGTCCATTTTCTTCTGCTGTGCTGTCAGCAGACATATTTCATCAATATTTCTCATATTTCACAAAGTCAATTCTCTTGACTTCTAGCTTTACAGTAACGTGATTTAAGCAGGGAGTAAATAAGTGCGCCCCAAGAGTTTGCAATATGTTTGCATCATAAAAAAAATAAAATCCTACTCCACAAGTCATGGAAATACACTACACCTAGTAGATGTCCTCCTTAAGACTTAGGAAAATTTTACAAAACTCCACAATCCACTCTAAGGCTTTACTAGCACAATGGTTTACTAATACAGCATAATGTCCCAATAAGGGACATTATGAAGAAGTTTCTGATGAACAAGCAGAAAAAGTAAATACCTGTATGGAAGATCACATTCTACACCCGTATCTCTGGTTTCTATATTGGTCTTTGGTTGGTTTTCCATTAAGTAGTCCAGTTTATCTTGTAATTCTTTATTCTGGAAAACAGTAGGTTTTGCCATATGTTTATTTTATTTGAATTATATTAAACAAGGAAATAAAATTGCACATTGGCTTATCCCCACAAGAAATAATGTAAAAGTATTTATTGAGAAAATAAAGGAATCCTTACTTGTAGGGAAAAATATAAATTAAACCAGCAGTTTTATTCAGAAGTTTCTGTTTTAAGTAATTATAATACTGTTATAAAGTTGTATGTTAAGAAACTTAGCATGAATATTAAGATTTTGTATTATATACATTCCTCATGTGACTGGTTTCATGACTTTGATTTCCATACTGAAGAACAGCAAATACAGGTAGTAAACATGCATCTAGATAACATCAGGTGATATCAATTCAAAGTTTACTTTGTTTCATAAAATAATCACAACAATATCAACTTAAAAGGTAATGCCTTACCTCACATTCTAAGAAAGAGATTTTTTCTAAAAGCTGTATTATAAATAATTCCTTTTCTTTTACTTTCTTCCTTAGCATTTCAATCTATGAAGAAAAATAAAACAAAGACTTTTAATCTACTGGAGATGGGAAGAGGAGGAAAAAGACTTCAGGAAGAAAACAGGTTTCATTTTATTTTTCAGCAACAATTGAGTATCTATACATATTCACAAACTGCTTTAATCCATGGATTAGCTGTCACCCCATACAATTAGGATCATTTATATAAAAGATGCTAAAAGTATACTAACATGGCTTTTAAGAACTTGTATTTTTCTGGAAAGAGAATGGAAACTCAAACATTGTCATGTAACAAAGCAGATTAGGAAAAATTCCATCTTTGATTAAAAGGCCTCTGCTCCAGGCAATTCAAACTACACCCAAAAATACGTTCCATGTTTGCTAGTGTCTTGAAGGTCTTATTTGTTCAGTTATTTCTTGGCACACCAGACTCCTTGAAAAAAAAGAAGCATTTTCATTTTACATCTAGGGAATGGAAAGAAGTTATTTACAAATGTTCATGAAAATTAAATGAAGTTAGCTGCACCAGAAGCATTGCACCTTAATACTTTTCTATGTGGAACAGAAGACAGTCTTCCTTATATTGTGGGATTTCTGCTGGTTATAGAGCTATACAACAAAAAACTTTATATTAAATTTTTCCCTGTTACCAGCACAAGCAGGGATGACCAGAGAAACAGAGTATGACCCAGATTTCATACCAGTCCCTTGCTGCTGGCCCAAAGTTGTTCTGATTGCGTGGAAATGGTTTTCTAAAGCTCCTAAAGCCACAGTTTTCCATTATTCTGAACCCTTTGGTTAATGCTGGATTTGGGGTGTGAGGTTCACCCTGTTATCAGCAACAGTCTAAGAGGCCTGTTGACTGGCACGGAGGTCAGTTCCTTTCAGATGACTGCGTTTAGAAGACGAGCATCTTGTGCAAACAAACTGAATTTTCTCCTCGGACCAAATGAAAAGTCACTTATTACTCCCTCTCAACCCCTGCTGGCTGCACCTACTAAAATAGCGACTAATAAAATGGGCAAAGCAAAACAATAGCTAAATAACAAGTTCAATTGTTACTGCTTCCCCAGGAGGCAGTTCAGGTTATTGCTCATAGACAGCTGTAGACACCCACCACTTTACAAGCACAGCAGACAAGGTGCTTCCTATCTCTGTAGTCAGTCTACTCCAGATGCAGAAAGCAGCATTAAAAATATTTCTAAGGAGAATTATCAGAAGTGCACTGAAAGATTAGTTTGAGAGAGAAAAGGTGTTCTGCATCATGTTTGTGACAGGTGGGATCTGGGAGAAGACCGATTTCCCCATGTTCCATGCTCATGCAAGTCTTGTCCTATAGCAGCTGCAATGAAAGCTGGTAACAGCGGATACTCTTTTTGCCTTTAGTGCTAAATGCTGTCAGGTCAGTAATTTTTCCAATTACATTTCAATCCACCTTTCTTGAACAAGCTGTTTCAGGCCAGATGACATGAAAGTCAAACCCCCTATTTTCCTCCCAGTAAATCCATGGGAAGGTCTCTCTCAGCTGCGGCGCTGCGACATCATTAGCTAAACCCCTCTCCCTGCTCCAGGCCAGCTCTCTTGCCCAACCAACAGCTTATGCTTTACCAAACCCTGCATTACCTAAGGCAATTGTCTCCACTGTTCATTAAATTAAAGATATAAAAAGTTTCCAAGCTTAAGCCTGAAAGCAACACCGTAAGTAACCCAAGCTAGTAAATGGACAATCCACACCACAAATGGAATGTCAGCGCCCATCATGCACTGCTTTGAGTAAAGTCTCTATTACAGTCTATATAAAAAAAATGCACCCCTTAAAGCTGTGTTAAATAGGGAAAGATATTCAAATTGCCATTACAGCACTAGAAAAGCGTGTGTCCCACACATTCCTTCGCATTTTCGGGCAGTATGCCAACAGTGAAAAAAACAGGTCTATGCATATAGCTTTTTTATCACAAGAAAACTATAAAAATACCTATGCATAATAAAAAAAATAGGTATTTTCTATAAAACTTTCCATTAAGTGAGGTAGCTTTATTTTGACAGGTTATTGATTGGCTGCAGGCTTCACTGATACAATTTTAAGGAAAAAAGTAAAACGTATTCATTAGTAAAAAGTTTAGGGGACTTTTACTAAAGTGAATTAATTTTGTAGAACAGCCAAACTGAAATCAAGGAAAGCTCAGGATACATGAATTTTTCCTGGCAGACCTTATGTTACATCGACATGCAAGAAAGACCATTTCTAAATACTTGGGTCCAATTTTCCATGCACTCTCACCAGTCACTTTTTAACTATTTATCTTAAAATCAATTTTGTGAAAGAATATTAACAAACCCCTTCAAACCACCAGTGTAAAACTTTTCAGCATTTTTAGAAGTGATGATTAGCAGAAATATTCACATCCTGCTAAAAGAGAATGATACAATACCCAAAGGTACAATAATCAAAACAATAGTGCTATCACCCTCCCAAAAATTTACTGCTAGTTATTATGAAACATTTCAACTAAACCATACAGAATTATGGAAAACACAAAGCAAAACAAATGCATAAATTAAACCAAAAAGTGGAAAGTTATAAAGCCAACTCAACTTTGATTTAGTCTCCATGATCTTCAGTTATCACATCTCATGGACAAAATATTCAGTTATTACTTGGACAAGCTAAAATGTAGACTCCACACAGTTAAGTGTTTTCAGCTGAACAGTTACAGAATATGAGTGCTCTCATCATCCATCTTTCTCTAAGTCAGGTCTTTTATTTTAAAGTTCATGTAAAAACTATCCGCATCACCTAAAGCTATTATAATTTCAGTTTTCCAATCACAGAAACAAAAAGTATTTAGCATTTTCAGAAAATCACAGAACACATTTTGATCTTCATATTTAATTACAACTTTGTTTAACAGTATGACTAAATTGAGTCAACTGTATCTTCACTGGTTCAATAGCTTCAGTCCTGCCAATAAATTTTGCTTCAGAAAAGATAAATTGTTCTTTTAGGACTTTCAAGTGGGTCTTCTCTATTAATATTCTGTTCTCCTACTATGCATACAAAGAAATAATTTTTAACACCAGTAATCAGTAGGATGCAAAGACAACTGAAGCCAAGCCCAGCGATGTGATTGGGGAGGGTTTTACACTGACAGACACCCATCTTTGTTATTGAAGATAATATACCTCATCAGCTGCCTATTCTGGTTTTCACATCAAACACAAAATAATTCTGTTTCCAAGTTAGTGACCGAATTATGTATTATGCAAAAGCACGGCGAAATTCTTGTGTTTCACAGCCATTTACCAAGTTATATTCACTCTATAATACAAAGGCTCTAAGATGTGAAATAAACCGTGACAGTAACCATTATGCTTACCCATATTATGTATAAATAGATTAGTGTAAGATAAACTTACATTTGTTTGGTCTTCACATTGGCTACAGAGATACAAACTCCCTAAGGATGTTTCCGAGTTACTTTAACTAGAATAGTCTGAAGGCAAAAATGAGCATGGACACTTGAAGATCTAATAGAGAATACAAAATGGAAGACCCTGACAAACAGCTTCTTCCACTTCTCAAATACAAACTTTAATTCCAGAAAGACATTTTGTAATTTGGCAGGAATGTTACTGCTTTTACCTTTCCCTTTTTTTTTTTTTTTTTTTTTTTTCAGGCCAATCTGGCTCTGTTTGCTCTTGCCTCTAAAACAAAAGCAAATTAGTGCTGCAGAAGCTGAATTATATTGTTTATGTTATGGTCTGTCGGAGGACCCCACGCAATCCTTGTGCAGCTCCCTGAGCAGAGTACCAGTGAGCGAGGAGACACAATCACTCAGTCAAACCCTCCTGGCACCCTGGCTTGATCCTCAGGTTCCCAGAAGGGTCTTTAAAGTAGTTGCTTTGGAGGAAAGGAAGGCTGGGGAGAGGTCCCTGCCACCCCTCCGTCACTTGTGGTACTTCAGGCATGCTCGTAGCACACTGAATTGGCAATTTTTTTTACAGTAAATTGTAACTCACAATTCAAACTTGACAGCTGTCAATGAAATTTGCTGTAAGCGCTCTGAAAGATAAGAACATCTTTCCTGCCTCTAACCTTTCCCTTTTTTTTTTTTTTTTTTTTTTGAGAATGCTCTAAGGATTGACAGACTGAACCATAAACAACAGTACTCCCTGCCACATTTTAACATGTTCACATAGTACCAGCCAGAACCCATTAAATCAATCTACTTTGTCCCCCTGAACAATTACGCCAGAATTTTAAAATGCACCTTTCTCTTCTCCAGTATGGAGAAGAGACAATGCGGTGATGTATCACCACATACACAAAGCCTTAGTCTAGCAGTAAAATGGAATGGAATGATTAGACCATGCAGATTACAGATACGATAAGGTTGTGAACAGGGTAACTTAGGTAAAAACTTTTGGTGAATCCTTAGAACATTATGAACTCAGACACAGCCACAGAGACAAAATATATCCCAGGAGAAATAAATTAAGCGGTGGCTAAAATGAGAGGCTGTTTCAGTGCCAGGAAAAAGGTCTTGCAGTCCCTGCTCCCCAGATGCAGCAAAGCCACCTTCTGAGGCTGCTGCAGAAGGAAAGCAGGGCCAGGATGTAGCAGGACACGCTGCACCCCCAGACACATGGCCAACAAGTCGTCTCAGCAGCTACTGCAGTCTAAGGGCTGAAACAACTTCTCAAGTTATGACACACCATTAAACCTACCCACAGGCCTGACACAGATGACACATCCCACCAGAGTAGTTTACTACAAAAAAAGTTTATTTACTGAATAAGGACTGGAGTACACATCATCTTATGCCATCAACACCAGGAGTGAGCAAACCTGATCGGATTAAACCTTGAGGGGATATGTCACAGGAAACACGGGAATAACTTTAGGGGATGATATTAATATATTACTATACTAAATAAGATTCAACCTTAATTCAATACATCTATATGTCACATCACGTGAAGTAAAAGTGATGGCTTCCTTGGAGAGAGGAATGTAACAAGAA